CAGGTGAGTAAGCGCCAGGCAGCGATAGCTACTGGCAACTTCTGACGGTAAACGTGTACAGTGCTCGCTCGATATGATGAACCATAATAAGTAGACAGATGTGATTCCCCTGCAATAGGCAATTTAGCGTAAAGCCGAAATGTGTAATATCTTAATACATACTTTATAAAGTATTTAGATTTAAAATATTGTATTTACTAAAATTAAAAGTAAACCAATTTGGTTTTAATGAATTCTTTTCGATATATTTCGACGACGACTCAAATCCATAAATATATATGTATATATTTTATAGGTATTTTACAGGAGAGATACTTTCTCTCCCTCTTTCTCTCTTAAAACTATCTTGATGAAACAAAGTTGAACAAATCGATGAAAAGTTGAGTTACTTTTAAGAGAAAAGCGTTTTTGGTTTTCAAGAAATGAAAACCAAGCTATCCAAGTACAAGCAGAAAAGCTGAAGCAGAAAATATTTTGCATTGGAACTCATCACGTAGCACCAATAGGAATAATCGAAAGGTAGCATAATATTTATAAACTAAGTTTTTCCAGATACTAACATTATGAATAGGAAAAATTCGTCAAAATTGATATAGATATAGAATATGAGCAAGATCTCTTTTCATTATGCTTACAACAATGTACCAAATGTTATCAATTATCTATTCTATTCTACGAGTTAACAATGCCATTAGCTCTTGTCGAAGAGTGGAACCAGAAATATGACCCTTTACTTATGAGCAGTATCTTTAGATACTTCTTGCACGGATCTAGGTCTTTTTAAAACAATCCAATGTTATGCATAAAGCTTATTTATTTTATTTAATTGTGTACAAATCCATTTGAATTCAATCTGATAATTAAAATAAGTTAAGCATTCGTTAGGATAACCTCAGTGAGAGAGGCGCTCTTCACTCTTCAGCTCTCTTGCGAGCTCTCTCTCTCTCTCTCCCTCTCCCTCTTTCGCTCTCTTTCTGTTGGCAAGTTAACGGCAGCTGAACTTGTTTAATTTTTGCTCTGGTGCTTTTTTGTTTTCTTTCCTTCTGCTTTATTTATGCATTTGTGATCTGTTTAAATATGAAATAAAAAGCGGACGAAAGGCAACAGAGCTTAAATGCTAAATGCGTTGGAAGGAAACAGAAAACGTACGACGAAATGTGTTTATTATTAAGACAAACACGTCGAAAAAAAAAACGTTGACTCCGTCGCAAACTGCGCAGTTCGACAAGCCAAGTCAAGAGCAGCACGGAGCATTAAGAGTGGGGGCAGCAAACGGGGCGAGGCCAAGGCAATTGCAAAAGTTTTTGCGTAAAAGAAAACTAAAGCGATATAATGTTTAAAGGGAAATTACGGCAATAAGAAACAACCACGTCATATACAATGAGAGAAAGAGAGAGAGAGAGAGATAGCTTAATTACCACGTTTCCAGTTAGCTTTTCAGTGAACGCCAGCGAATGTCCAATAAGAAAACTGAACCAAAACTGAAAATGAATCACGCGCGAATCGATGAATGTGGAATAAGTAATAAAAACGTATAAAATGAAGTTAAGAAAACGATATACGTACATATACAAAAAAAAAATAATTTAACCGAAAGCGACTCAATGCCGACGTCAGCGTCAATGCCTACGTTGTGTTGTTGTTGTTGTTGTTGCTACATGTGGCAATTCCATTTGTTTACACAACAATTAAACGTGCAATAAGCGAAACGCTGTGCGTGTGTGTGTGTGCGTATTCGTGTGTGTGTGTGTGTGTGCTCGTTTGCTTGCGGGCCTCTTGACTTTCGGTTCTTTGGGGCCATGTCTTGGGTAGAAGCATTATGTCTATTATATATGTATGCAAGGTCGTGAGTAAATAGTTCAATGACTGCCGCCACACAAGTTCTCACAGCCGCTCGCGCTCCTCGCTCTCCCTCTCTCTCTCTCTCTCTCTCTCTAACCGTCTCTTTCTGCTTTTGGTCAAATAGCGACGTCGCAGTTGATCGAGCATTTGTTGCTTAGCGCCAGATTTATTATGGACATTCATTCCACGGCATTGCGACACTACGCAGCACGTTTTTATCGAAATGCGCATCGGCTTGGCTAAAACACAACTTCAACGTCAATCAAATTTGATTGATAAAGAGCGTTACTTTGGTGAGCAGTGCTCTTCAAGCGGATGCCAACGACCGACCTTAAGGTCCACAGCAAACACATAATTAATGAATTAATTACACTTAGCTTATATTAAGTTTAATGCGCGTATCTCAATTGCAATTAAAAGCAGAGAACCGCAGGCCTCAGACAAAAACAACAACACCTGAAAGTGTAATTAAATATTCCATGTGTGTTTCGGCCAAGTGTTATATCGTTAGGTACAGCTAATGCCGGTTAAGGCGCCGTCAGGGATACATTAGAGTCATTTTCTTAGCTATAAAATTGAGGAAATCCAGCTTTATATTCATTATAGTTATATGCTAATACCTTGGATTGTGTCATAAGTGTATGCGTATATTTCTAATTGCCATCCAAAGTGAACTCTATATGGAATGTTTTTGTGTACAACTTACACACTGAGTCATCCATTTTCTAAGGTACAATAATATTAGAGCTCCCCAACTTTCTGTTAATAGGGCTTAATGATAATTTTGTAATGTTAATCGCATGAAATCAGTTAATGATTGTATTGTTGTGGTGTGTTGTCGTTGCACTTAAAAAAATAAAACTTGATCTCTTAACAGCGGACAAATGCCCTTTCTTTTTGGTCCCAATCGTTTGCCCTTTTCCTTTTCGAACCAAGTGGACTTCAATTCGTCGATAGCTTTTCCGGACGCTCAAACATTTATTATAGTCACCATATTTTAATTTTAAAAATTCCAAAAAATTATAAAACATCAATTTTGGGCATGTTAGCTGAGTCGTTTATTCAAAGTTAACAAACAATATTTAGGAATTTTCAAAATTCTTTAAAAAAATAAACCTCTACAAAAATAAAAACACCTTTTGTTAACTTTAACTAAGAAAAATGGGTTTCATCAATGTTGACAACATCAAATTCTGTTGCATAGTGTGATTAGGGGTATTCCCCACTGCCCAATGCTATATTAATTGTAAATATGCATGTTTTTTTTTTTTTAGCAAACATGATAACAAACCGAAAGCAGTGTTGATTTTAGTTTAATTTGTACAGCTGTTTGATTTTAATTTCTATGTTTGATATATAAACAAATGTACAAATTTAAAATAATATTAAATAAGAGAATTTGTATAAAATCATAAAATGCAAAAGAAAATTTGCGGCCATGGAATGCGAATGGATGCAAAAATCGATATACATATACACATTTGTGTAGCCCCATGTTGAAATGCTTTAAAATAATACTCTCTAAACTGCGCAAAGAAGGCCCGCAGAAGTTTTATAAATACTAAGGCCCATATGTCTAGGTAGTTTTAGTTATTTTTGGGAAATAATGCACAGAATATTTGAATTATTGCCCCAACTGGTTGATTGTAGCTTATCGCAAGAACAGCAAAAACAAAAGCAATAATACTAAATTAAATGTGAGTAAGCGAATCGAATGTTGCTGATAGCACACACACACACACACACGCACACACACACACACACACACACACACACACACACACACACACACACACACACACACACACACACACACACACACACACACACACACACACACACACACACACACACACACACACACACACACACATACATATGCATATATATAGCCACAATTACAGTAAACATATCAAAAGTCCAGACAAACAAGACAAGTGTTTGTAGGCGCATGTGGACTTCGAGTGTGCGGTTGCAATTCGTATAAAAAGCATGAAAATGAGACAAAAACGTTGAATGCCAAAACGTTAGTCAATCATTTTCAGGCAACAGCAGTTGTTAAGGACACAATTTCTGACGTCACACAAAAAGCGACCTTGCTGGCACAAAATGGCCAGCAACAGGCAACTGACACAGGTCCTTGAGCCGCCCGGGACGAGGACGAGACCGAAGGCGTGCAAGAGCACGGGCAGTAGCAGGAGCAGGAGCAGGTGACAGGCTTAAATTGCAGGCAGTTTTTAACCTCGACTGCAGCTGGAAAAACGCATGAGGTGCTCAACGAGGAAATTCCCCCCTGCCCAGATGGCACTCATGAGAAGCGTCATGCGGTGGCGCCAAGCCGACTGCGAGTTCCCTTTCAACAGCTGTTCGTCTATCTATTGACGCACTTGACATTGAATGCACGCTGTGAGGTCGCATCTTTTCTGGCACTCAATCAGTTCAACAATTGGCAGGGGAGGAGGGGGGACAAGCCAAAGAAATAAGAGAAAAATATTAGCAATTGAAAGCCTTGATTACACACAACAGCAAGAATGCGAACGAGGTGGAGACCCAATGTTAACCCCACAACATGACCTTATAAGCATGAGTGCACACATATATATACACACATATCTGAACGATTGTATAACAGAATAAAGCAATATTTTGTGCGCTTCCCTGAGGCGCTGGCACCTGCCCCAAAACGGTTAATTGCCAATTAGCGACGTGTGTGGGCCAGGGAAGAGGGTTGGGGGTGTGTGATTTCTATTGAAAAATCAATTGAATTTAATTGCTGCACAATTTATAACTAGAATTAGAATAGTGTCAAATTTAATAGAGTCACAAACGGTGAGAAAATTATCAAACAACTAGCAGCTGTTCTAGTTTGCCCCAGGCCCCAGGCCCCTGATAACTGTTATCACTAAGTATGCTACAAATACACACACATACACACACACACACACACACACACACACACACAGACACACACTCAGACACACACATGTATGCATAGGTTTGCATTATAGTCGGCATGCCGAGCAAAACAAAGAGCTTCAAATTTAGTAATCACCTCACACAGCACTTGACAAATGCCAAACACAGATAATTTAGTAGGCTTACTTTTATAAATTTCAACTATGCTCTTACCATAAAAATATAAATATAAAGTTGAACAACAAAATGCGTCGCAAATAAAATAAGCTAAACAAAAATAATAAATTCGAAAGTGGAATCACGAATTAAAAGCATGCAACTTAATAGGAAACTGAGATTAAGAAACAGTGTATATTATCATATAAGTGCACTTTTCAGTTAAGAAAAAGTAAATAAAAATTGTCCAAAAACTAGAATATTGAACAAAATAATTTAATATTTTAAGCAAGTTTTTAATACAGAAATTTACGGCGATTTAAGGAATTTGATTCTATACCCTTGCAGAGGACATTACAATTTTGTCGTGAAATGTGTAACGCATAGAAGAAGACATCTCCGACCCCATAAAGTATATACATATATTCCTGATCAGTATCAACAGCCGAGTCGATATAGCCATGCTCGTCTGTTCGTCTGTCTGTCTGTCTGTCTATGCAGAAGTGTTTCTTTCCGTTGCATGTAGTACATATGTCGGAACAAGCTGGATCGGACCACTATATAACTGCCAAAGGAACGGTCGGTCAAAAATTTAGTTCATTGGAAAACTTTTTTTTTCAAGATATAACCATACTCGGCATCGACTATTTCCCTGTGCAGTATGAGTATTATGAAAAGGTTGGGTCTGCAAGGGTATTAAATCTTCGGCGTGCCGAGGATTTCCCTACTTTCTCGTTTTAATTCACAATTCTATCCGACACTATTTACAATAGATTTGTGAATATCGTATTGTGCAACTTTACTTAAATGTCTTATTTGTTACAAAAAGGCCTCATTACCATTCAAGTGATTATACAATTCTGACTTATATGTCGAGAGAGACGCTTGAGGAAACGAGGTTTGATCTAGTTCCGTACCTGTTCACGATTTCGGCCTAATTTATCGTTTACAGATGTTTATCACACAATCGAAAGTTATCGATTACATTAATAGGACAGATAATCGATTTCTCCAACTATAATCGAAGGTTTCGATTATAATGATTGTATATATGTACATTTTTGTATTGAATATAAAAATTAATCAATCGATTTATGTAAGGAAACTGATCTAAACTATACGTAAACCGAGATATATAACTGAAAGTAATAGCCATAACCGAAAATGTTTGTTCTCACAGAACAGTTAACGGAATTGGCCATATCATTTACCCATATAATACAAATTGCTATATATAAACTATAGCATTTGGTAATTGTTTCTAATTACAATTGTGCTTAATGGGGGCTTCCGAGGAATTAGATTAGCTTTACAATTTGATTTACAGGCATTAAGTGACACGCAAGCCCAACTGAAATTGAATTAAATGTATATATAAATGTATTTATATGTACACACAAAATGTATGCCTAGATATTCGAATATATATAATATATGTTTTCACTTTCGATAAACAGGCAATGCACGATTCGAACTGAGTGTAAAAATACAAATGCGATTGTGAAATTGTCGCCTTTGGCAATGGTGTCGATAATTGGGGAACTGTCTCAACAAGGGAAATGAGCGCAATTTAATGAGGCGGCAAAATGTGAGTCATGGTCAAATTAATTATATAAATAAATGATAATCGTCATATGCACACAGAATGCACAGCAGTAGCTACTACAAAAGATTAACACAAACAAATCAATGCAAGCCCCACCTCAGAGCACTTCCCAGGAACAATTTATAGGCGCAATATTTATGCCGAGTGCAAAGACAAAGACAATAAAACAAAACAAAAACAACTAAAAGAGAATGTGGCGTAAAATTAGCTGAGAAAATATAAAAAAAAACATTATGTATGAAACGAGAAAAATGCATGATTCAAACGAATTTGTTCATTATTGATCTGAAACAAAAAAAAACCTTATACTTTTATTTCCGGGCAATGCGTAATGCATTGCCTCCGGATTGCGAGTGCATTCAACTTGCAAAGCGAATAATATAACTATAAAGGCAAAAATAAAGTAAAATTCCCTTAATATTCAAGAAGCATAATATGCCGAATCCGGCAAAAAGTAAAACGGAAGTTAAGCTAACTCTCAGGCATATAACTCTCCCGATTCAGGTTCTATGTGCCGAAATTTCAATGCAGCCCCGTTTAAGAGTCAACAAAAGTGGCAAAAATTAAACATTTTATTATGTCACAATTTATTCAATTTGTTAACAAATAAAAGGTCACATTTGCATACATTTCCAAACAAACATGCAAGCGATAGAAAGCGACACACAAAGAATGAGAGAGAGAGAGAGTGAGAGGGCTAGAGACGGAGAGAGACAGTCAGAGAGAGAGAGGGGTATAGAGAGGGCTTGAGATTGACCGAGTGAATAGCCAAACAAACAAACCAATGCGGAAGAGGCGACAACAGGCGAACAAACAGGGCCAAAAACAAAAGCCATTCCAATAAATTGGATAATGACCGCGTTGGGTTTGGGCCAGCTTAGGCCGCAATACCACCTGGGCTGACCCGATTACATATTCATGAATCGCGGCGAGGTTCGACGTAACCCTTCCATCAAATCATTCTTATGTCATTTGTTGATATAATTTCAACTTAAGTAGAGTATCTAAGATAGAGATTTTAAATAATTACTGGAAATTATTGCCTTGCCCTAGTCTAGTCAGGAGTGCCCGACTGTAAGATGCCCTACAACCCTTCCAGATTCCTTCTACATTTATATATATACAAATGCTTTTCGCGCAGACTGTGCTGCTTCTTCCCGCACACTATAAGAAAACAGTTTTTGATTATCTTCGGTGCTTATTGTCCGATCATAAATATGTCATCAAAACGAGCCTAAATAACGGGCTGATTTATCCCAAAAATAAAATATTCTGTCCAGAAGAGATTTTTTCTTTCTTGTTTCATAATATAATCATTGAAAAAAAGTTTTCCTCTTATCGCATGCATTTTTGCTGAATACTTTAAATGACTATCAGTGCATTGAGACTATAAAGAACTATGGCATTTTCTTTATATAGCAACAACAATTGCACATCAGTGTGCTTTATCAGATTTGCATGCCAAGAAGCACACGTAAATGGAATATTTATAGACAATATAGATAAATATTATAGCTTTATACTAATAAACGTGCCTCATTCGCAGCCCAAGCTACTGCATAAATATGTTATTTTATTGGCCCAAAGCCTTGGCAGGCAAGTTTATAGTTTATTAGTAGTTGTAGTAACTAAAAGTTTAAATTTACAATTTTAAACAATTTTGTTTTCTTCACATTTTTGCCCATCTTCTGGCATGACCTTCCTGCGCGACAGGCGACCCACTTACAAAGAGGAACTACAGTCGCCTCGAGTTGAAGCGAATTTTGCAAACCTGAGTCAAAAATCGGGTTAAACCAAACATTAACTGGCTCAGGGGCTGCTCGGTTCAGCCACGGATCTGTTGCGATTATCAGACAATGCTTTGCTTCCATCCACAGGCGCCACAGTTTGTTGCCCATTGATGACAAAGATGATGAACCGCAAACGCTTTCACTTTTCTTTACGTTTTGTTTACTTGTATACCCTGAACCCATTGCAAATGGGTAAATGGGGTATTATGATTATGCACAAGAAGCATCTCCGTCGATCATGTTTGGTTTGTGTCATCGATAACTTAGACCGTATCCATTAAATCGATAAAATCGATATCGAACTCCTGCTTGTTAATCTTGTATCCTAGCTTTAAACAGATCCAAAAAATACCTCCACAGGCACAGTCTGGTGCTCATTATGTTATACACTTTTGTATTACAACGTGAATCTCCGCAAATTAGTTAATCGGGAACACATTTCTCATAGTGAGAGCTTATGGGAGGAAGCAGCACAGCAGCGTACAGTTGAGTCAGGGTATCTCCTAGTCGGGCACTTTCCACCAGAGCACTCTTGAGGTTAGAGTGCAAGCTACGCAGCGTTTAATCATTCGACATGCGTTGTCCGCACTCGGAAGTGACGCTTCGCTAATTGAATAGCCAGAGATATTCTCAGTTTAGCCAGCTAGTGTTTTGCGGGGAACGGTGGGGCGGCGTTGCTTTGTTCGCAGCACGCGCAGCAGTTCCAGTTTCACAGCACCAAATAGACCTCTCCCCAACACGCCGACCCCTCTCTCTCTCTCTCACGCTCTCTAGCCAGCTTTCGCATCTCATTGATATGCCGGGCAGAGCGCGTGGTCTTATGCAACTGCCGCTTTAAGCTATTGATAAGGCTGCTCTGTAGGGCACACTGTCGGGCAGTCTAGCCTGTGCTTCACTCTGTTCGTGGGGATTAGGTAATATATGTGTATGTACGAGTGCCTCGGTGGCTATTCGAAAGTAGGAGATTGGCTGCTGGCCAGTGCATTGCACTGCTCGCAATGCAGACGCCGACGATGTCGACGACGACGTCGACGACGATGCGACGAGATCGATTCGATGTGAATGGTGAAAATTTCACCGCTTTTACTTTTCCCATTGCACACGGTCAGCGGTCTGCTTGGCCATAAATACTTATATATATATATATAAATTTGTATTTTTTGGTTGGAAAATGTTGCTGTCAGCGCGCGTCGGGTAAACACGTAAGCCGTAAACGTAATAATTGACATATTGGCGCAGACAACGCTGCGCCAAACCACCTGCAGAGGTGGCCAAGCCAGAAGATGGCCCGGCCTGGTCGCACTAGCGAAAAGCAAAAGGGGGGCTTTTACTTTGGCATAAAAATGTATTTAATTGTAACGTTTACCGTTTGCAATCAGATCCCAACTAAGTAGGATCCATCAACAATCAAGCACAGACAGCTGTCGGTGTCAGCTGGAGCTGTATGTGATAAAAGAGAGCTGTCGAAAAAGCTCGGCAACTTCAAAAAAACTAATGGGATTAATTTCAGAAATCAAAACTCAAGTTTCACGACGGACAAACCATGATATGCAACGATAATGGCTGGCGCAGCCAACTTAATAGCTGCACTTCATGTTGCCAGATCGGTGTAAGAAATCAAAAATTTCCTTTACTTTATTGTGCCTGTCTTTATGCTGTCTATAGACATGGCGTTGCCCAAAGGGGTACTTTACAACAAAACAGAAAGCTTCAATTTATTGTAAGGATCTTGTACTGGCGCAGCCAACTTAACACAGACACAATATTATATTGTGTTGCCAGATCGATAGAAATTATAAATTATAATTCACATTCGTACATTTATTGCTACATTTTCTTTCCTAATACCCGCCTTTTACTTTTTAATGTAGCCGAATGAAGCTCAAAAGTTACAACTCTCACCAACGCCACTCTCACATGAACTCATGAAAATGTCATGAAAAGTTATTTAATAGCAATGTTAACAATCTACCATCGACTAGACAACTTACGTACCTTGCATTATCGCATTAGATGCAAGATTTATGTAGATTATGCCAACAAATCGCAGCTCTACAATAAAAAGCAAAAAACTTTGCCAGGCCAATTAACAGCCAAGGATTTTGTTCAGTTCGAGATTTTCACTCCGTCAATCGTAGCTCGTAAATAACCGATTAAACCGATTCACACTCTGTTAATTTAGCCTATGTATGTCTAAGTGTATACATATGCAATACATTTTCCGAAATGCTCAACTGACTCAGATGTGCGCTGCTTGCCGCCTTCATTCACTCAATACTTTTCACAATTCATCAATTTTAAGTGTTGTTATCACTTGTTTTCATAGTACTTGAGCCGCATGCGTCACAAAGGGCGTACTAAACAGCGCACTAAGTACACAACACACGCACACACACACACACACACACACACACACACACACAATTGATTACTTTTATTAATGTGCATGTGTAGGTTTTCATAGTTCCCAATGGAAAAGTTACAGATACGCAGAATATTTTACACTGGCTCTTGTCACTTTACACTTCTTCTATGTCGAGCTGTAGGAAAATAACGACAATTAAATACCCTTTTGATAATCTTTCTATTGATAAGAATAAGCTCGCATCTTGATGTCAAAATAAACATCGTGAACTGAAAAGTTGATGAAGATATATTTAAAAAATGTTGAAGAATAAAGTTTTCAACGGGGCGTTCCTATGGAAGCCTGATGATATACCGATGTTTATATATATGTATGTTAGGCTCGTTTTCTTAGAATATATTTCAAAAAGAGAAGATTTTGAGATTATGAGTGTATTCCAATTGGGACTATTCAAATACACGTATACATAACTAACGTAATAATAATCTAATAGTCTAATAAGTAAACTGTTCATAAACAATTAGGATAAACTCCAAAAAATATATATACATATATTCTTGAGAGGTTCAAAAATGTCTTCACCAATGGGTTTCATTTCAAGTGAAGTATTAAAAATGCCCACTGGAAGTGTATTAAGAAAACACTTTAATTCATCGTCGTATCAACAACAAATAAAATGGTTAAACCGCTTACGAAATTCTTTCCAGCGTTAAAGATCACGTGCAAATCATTTGGGGGAAAAGCACAATTCAGCGAATTAATTTAAATGATATTCAAGTGCAAAAGCATGCGAAACACTCGTGAATACAACGAATCAAAATCGTGCATTTCTCTATATTATTTATGTGTTTATGTGTATCGTAATATTTAGATAGCATTTTCTGGGCTTTACTAGAAGAACCAACCAAATGGGGCCAGCTGAAACGAGCGCAGAGCAAAAGTTGTTAACAGACGGCGGCGTCAACAGTGGCACATGTCAATATGGCCCAAATTGTATGAGCCAATGGATAACAGGTTCTTCTTGTTGTTGTTGCTGTTGT